TTCAGGGGAGGGCGGTGGTGCACTTATTCACACCAGCCTGTTCAGTTTTATTCCACCACAATCCATCGCTGATGAAACCAATATAACTAAAGTAAAAATTATGGAGAGAACTGTTTCCTTCTAACGGATTCCCTCTAGTGAATCCGAATGGAAGAGGGTTTATCTAGCCCTAAGAGCAAGGAAATGGGAATCAGGTGGCCTATTCCTGGCTCTCCCAATGACTCAATCAGTGATCTGAGCCTTAGCTTAGCTGCTCTATGCCAATTCGCCCCGCAGTGAAAGAGATTTAGTTACAATACCCCACAGGGACAAGCTGCGCTAAATTCATTCAGGTCTGTAAAGCACTGGGAGATCCTCCTTTGAAAAGTGCTATATGAGTACAAAGCATTATTCTGAGTATTAGTGCATATAAATCTGTCACTAGCGGTGTAATCTGTGAAGCTCTGAATTGCCCAGAGAGAACACAAAACAAATTGGCTTGCAAGTGAGGGCCATGCTGTCTCCACAACTAACAAGGGAGGTGGCTTCTGGCCAAGCTGACTTTCCTGGGCAGTGGAGTGCGGAAAGGTGACCATACAGGCCTCTTCTGCCAGGGCCAGTGCTACATAAGTGCTATATAGTGCAAGGGACAGCCGTGGAAGGACCACTAGCACTGACTGTATTACCCTGGACATGGGATGTGTCTACCCTGCCACTTAGTCACTAACACCAATAGGGACTTACCTTGAGTTGTAATCAGGGTAACTTATGGCCAATGAAACATCGATTGCAGCAAATGTGTATTTCCCCCGATAGAAGGACACATCTGTATTATTATTATTTATTTGCATTATCGCAGCACTTAGGAGACCCCGTCCTGGATGCTGTACAAACACAGACAGACCCTGACCCAAAGAGGTTGCAATCTAAGTATAAGACATGAGACACCAGGTGGATAGAGACCGACCGACAGGGCAGTACAGGGGACCAGTGAGACGATATTGGTCAGCATGACAGGCACCGGTCTCAGCGCACAAGCGGCCTGGCCATTCTCAAGTATTTTGTAGGCCTCCTGGCAAAGAAGAGTTTTGAGAAGGGAGTGGAAGGAGGAGGAGTGAGTTAGTTTTGCAGATGTTTCCAAGGGAGCTTTCCCCAGACACGAGGGGCAGGATGGGAGAAAGCATGAAAGGGCTTGTTAGAAAATTGAACAAGTGGGCGCCGGAGGCTGGCGTCATGGGCTGGCTGGAGGCGGGAATTGACCTTTTGAGACTGAGTGAGAGAAGATTCGTAGGGTGGGGATAGCATGAAGGGCCTTGAAAGTGAAGACAAGTGGAACAGAGGACCCTGGAGTTCTGGGCGTGCTAATAGATGGTGCAGCTAAGAGCTGAGATTTAAAGCTTGCTAGATGACAAGGCTATTTTAAACATAAATTATTCCTTTGCGGAGACTGGCTTGGAGGTGCCGCATGGCCATGCAGGAGACCTTGGTTTGATTACTAGCCTCTCTCACTCCGGCTGCTGTCACTGTCTCTCCCTCTGGAGCTGCTCCAACACTTGAAGAAATATGTCCCGCGACTCCCAAGCAGTCCTCCTGTCTGAGAGAGCATTTTCAGCGCAGTCAGGGAAAAACATTGACACTGATGCTGGTAGTTCACTGGGGCGGGGGGGCGGGGAGAATCAGCAGTGGAGGACACATTGCAGCTGGAGTCTGTGCTCAGAACATCAGCATCCAAAAAAACCAGCCCCATGCAGCCAGAGCATCAAAACTCCAGTGTCTGAGAACGTAGGCCGGGCACGCTGAAGGGAGCTAACAAAGTCAGCAACACATACAAGTTGTTGGCAGGGGACGGACAGCTGAGCAGGGAAAGCTGCACGTGCGAGGGTGCTGCACGCAAGACAGGAGCATGCCCTGTTCTGACGAGTGGCTTGTTTTTGCAGTCGCTACAGGGGAAGCGGTGGGAAGGAAGCCGTGCAAAGGTGCTGAAGCTGCTGCCCGAGGTAAACAGCACATTGTGATACACTTAGCTGATGATGGTGCAAAACACAGAAAACTGTAGACCAGAGAAGAGGAAAAATAGCACACGGCTGCACCAAAAGCCTGCCATGTGGATTTATCAGCCTAGTTTGTTATAGAATTTTATAGAGTATCTGGATTGGCCATTCAGGGGCTGGCAAGGATGAAACACTCCAGCACAATGCACGCTGCAATTTGGGAACCGTGCTATGCCAACATCTCAGCCACAGGGCTTCGATTCAGCAAAGCATTGAAGTGTGTGCTTAAACCCCTTGGCTTCAGTGCCGCTTTAAACATGTGCTTAAAGGCAAATATGGTTGTGTGCTTTCCTGAACAGGGATGGATTTAAGCACATGCTTAAGGGTTTTGCTGAATTGGGGCCTACAGCTTTACAGGGACCTTTAAACTGACTTAATTATACACTTCCACCATGCCTATGCTGTTATTTACCAGCTACATTAGACAACCAGCTGTATCTTTTGATACCAGTTAATTTAAATCTCCTGTTTCAAATTCAGACCACAGTTGTTGCTCTTAAAGGGATACTGTCAGGTTAAAAATCAGACAGTGTATTTTGGGGGGAAATATTACTAATAGGTTAGATTGTTAAAACCAGAAGAATATCTTTAATCCAATTTACTTTTCATCATTCGGGCGGTTTATCCATTTCTTGCATTTCACTCAGTTGGGACAATGAAAATAGATTAGTCAATTCTACTTTTATTTCTAAATCACTTTCACTTTTTGGCTCCTCGTGTACAAGCGCAATACTGCAAGGTTTGGATTGCCAACACCAGATGGGAATGTTTAAATTCAATCAAAAAGCTGTTTTCAGTTACATTCAAATATATTTATTAATAGGAAGTACTGTACAACCTGTAAAAAAATTATTTTACAAAACCTACATTTTGGGCCTAACCCGCCCACTTATGATAATATCCCGTTAATCTCAACAAGCCCACTAGGCCCCTAAACCTACCAACACTCATGCACATATGTTTAAAGCATGCTAGTAGCCAGCTGAAATCAAGTAAGCTACACATGCATGGAGTTACACATGTACAGGCCTTTATTAAATGTGACATTAAAATATTGCATGGAATTTGCTTGTACTACATTTGAGGCTTTAAGGAAAGAAAAAAATTGTTCTTCCCATGCCTTTTTAACACATTAAAGTCTTTTGATAGTAGTTCTCATTTTCCATGTACTGTACATTATACAATGCAGTAATCACATGGTGGAAATGTTTCAAAGTAGCAGCCGTGTTAGTCGGAATCTGCAAAAAGCAAAGGAGTACTTGTAAATGCGTTAGTCTCTAAGGTGCCACAAGTACTCCTTTTCTTTTTATGGTGGAAATGATTTTCAATTCTAAATCCAAATACACTCTGGACTTATCAGAATGGTGAATCAAGCTTAGATGAAAGAGGGTCACCACTGCCATACAATAGGATGGAAAGTTTAATTGTGAAAAGACCATTGATTTGATAATATGGACCCTTAGGAGTCTGGGGGCAAAATCATGCTAGAGTTGCCAAGGTATGTGTGTGGGGATAACTGAGCTGGCTGATTTAAGCATGAGGCCTCCTTAACAATAACACTGGGAGGGTCCCCATATTTGAGGAGTGGCTGCCTCATGATCAAATGACATGACCAATTAAAGCCTCTTGCATGGGGGACATGAGGCCATTGTGTCCAGCCCTGATGACACATTTATGCAACACACGGACATGACAGCCACTAACTCCGCAGGCGGGAGCGGCTTTCGGGACCTTTCTTACATCCAAAACTGATCCTGACAGTGCTTGGCTGGGGAAGGCAAAGGCGTTGTCCTGCTCCAGAAACCTAGGTACCTCTCTGGGCAGGTCACAGTGCCATCGGAGCTTAACTAAGACTCCGAAGCAATGCTGGGCCCGTCACGGCCCAAGGATGGGACTTCCCAAGCTCAGACCGTAGGGTTTAGACTGCTTGTTCTATACATTTATCCTCAAGGCCCTACTTAGCTTGCAGATATTGTGGATTCCACCATAGGAGGCTTCCCCTGCAATTTTGACACTGGACAGCCCCATCACGCGCGGATCTGAGAGCCGGAGCCCTGGGCCCCCACACTCAGTCCCAGGCAGCTGTTGTCAGCCCCAGAACACCCCCCACTGAGCCCCTGGCGGCTGACAGCAGGAGCCCACTTCCAGCCACAGGCCCCCGCTGTCAGCTCTGTGTCTCCACTTCCAGGCACAGGCCCCCAGTGTCAGCCCCGTGTCCCCACTGCCGGCCACAGGCCCCCGGTGTCAGCCCCGTGTCCCCACTTCCAGCCACAGGCCCCCGGTGTCAGCCCCGTGTCCCTGCTGCCGGCCACAGGCCCCCAGTGCCAGCCACAGGTCCCTGGTGTCAGCCCCGTGTCCCCGCTGCCGGCCACAGGCCCCCGGTGCCAGCCACAGGTCCCTGGTGTCAGCCCTGTGTCCCTGCTGCCGGCCACAGGCCCCCGGTGTCAGCCCCGTGTCCCCGGTGCCGGCCACAGGCCCCCGGTGCCAGCCCTGGGCGACCCACAGCGGAAAGTCAGGGGCAGGTCTGATGGACTTTAGGAGGGCACCCAATAAGGTCCATTCGTGCTTTTCTGCAATTGTCCCTGGCTTGTCGCCGACTCAGCTGTAATTTTTTGGGGGACAATCATCCCCCCCCCCATTCACACCGGGCCTTACTGATACTAGTTTCAACCTGGGGCAAGCTGCGATGTTCCCCCCGCTGGGACAGGGGTCTGCACCGGGGGGGGGGCGGGCTGGCCTTGCTGCCATCACCCCATGGGACCCCCCCCCTCCCGCCAGTGGGGCCCAGGCCTGACACGACGCTCCCGGGCCAGCGGCCACCCGCCTCAGGCTGTCCCGGGCGGCGCGGCCCAGCCGGCTCCAGGCCGGGCGGGGAGGTGCCGGGGCCCGGGGCGGGGAGCCGCCGCGCGTCACCAGCCGCACCAGCCCGGGCGGATCTACATAAAACTCGCCTCCCACTTCCCCCCACGCGATCATCCCTCGACCGCCCCGAGCCGGGAGGCGGCGCCCGCCGCGCCGGGCGAAGTTTGTTGGCCGGAGTTGGGGGAGCGCGGCGGGGCGCGCCATGGAGGCGCTGCGGTCGGCGGGCCGGGCCCTCATCCGGAGCCCGAGCGCCGCCAAGCAGTCCTGGGGCAGCGGCAAGCACCAGAGTGAGTCCCCCCGGGCTGGGGGCGGCGGGCGGCTTATCCCTGGGGTGGGGGGCGCCCGCCCCTCTCCAGGGCCTGGGGGGGCTCGCACGGGGCGGCTGCTGCGCCCTTGGCCCCCCCGGGAACCGGGTTTGCCCCCCGCCCAGTTACCTGCTTCTCCGCTTTGGGAGCGAGCCCGGCTGGCGGCTCTCCCTGGGCTCGTGGGCGCCCGCTGGGGTGGGGCTTCCCGAGGCCCGAGGGGAGCAGCGGGGCTTGGCCTCATGCCCAAAAGCTGCTGAGCTGGAGGATGGTTTCCGCCCGCCCGGGCCACCCACACCCCCAGGTCGTGGCTGGATCCTGCCTCGGCTTCCTCCTCTTCTCTCCAGCCTTACAGTGAAATCTCTCCTCTGCTTCCTCCCTTCTCACCCAAGCAGAGAGGGGCCAGCCCAGAGCACCCCCCCCCCCAAACCCACAGGTGCAGGTATTGCTCTACTCCCAGTCCCTACCCCCTGGGGGAGCAGGTTGGGGCCTGGCTTGGGCTGCCTTGTGGTGTGGACAATCCCTAGCCCCGTCCGCACATCTAAGACCTGTTCTTAGCCTGCGGTTGAAAGCGCAAGCAGAATGCTGTGGAGCTGGGTTAATAGTTACTGAAGGTCTCCGGCAAGTGAATGAGGCCAGGGTGCGTGTGTTGCTTCTAATGATTGATGATGAGATGGTGGCTAACCAAGGAATTCCTCTTCCTCGCACCCTGGGTTGTAGCCCTATATTTTAGGAATTGCTGCACTGTTCCTCTTCTAGGTGAGGTTATGGGCCTGCCTGGATGTCTTGAGCCAATTTAGTGAGTCACCTTCTGCTTACCTGCGAACTCCATAGCTCTGCTGTCAGGCTGCTCCTACCAGGGATCGCTGACTTGACTTCCTTTTAAGAAGGACTGTATGTTTCTGAACCCCTTAAATTACCCCTTCTCTACCCGAAGTCTCGCCTTTTGCAGACAAACCACCCTACTTCTCCTTCGGCTCGACAGCTTTGGGATTGTTGTCGTTGATTGTGGCAAGTCCAGGTTTTCTTTCCTTTTGCGCAAAAGGAAACTCTAAACACAAGAGTTGTTGCATTCACAGGAGAAGACTGGAGCGTAATGAGACCACACAACGCTCTGCCTGCTGAGCAATTTACACGTCTTAATGCGGTGTGTCAGGAGTAGTACATTAGCACACATGCATTAGTCTGTTGGTCGCGTGTGTTCTCTCCAAGCCTGCCCTCCATTATGGCAGATGTTAGCCCAACTCTCCTTTTAGGAGAGGAAGAAGAATCCAGGCTGACTTTCTGTCCCATCACAGGTGGAACTCACAGGGTACTGGGTTCGTGGAAAGGGGTAAAGTTCTGCAGTAGGTTTTTTTTTTTTTTTTTTGCTTTGGTTTAGTTGTGCTTCATCCAGAGTCAAATCGGTGGTTAACTTGTAACTTTGGTTTTATTAGCTGGCTTAAAAATATATTTTCTCGTCACTACACCCAGGATACCAGTTTAAAAAAATCTCACTGCGGTGCTTGATTTTGCACACTCCATCCAGCTTGCTACTAGATTCTTGAGCTTTGAACAGTAGCTAGCTGTAACTTGCATTCATTCCAAGGCTGCTGGGCACCTGCTATGTGTACACAGAGCCCTGGTTCCTTTCCCTGCTCCCACACAATAACGAAAGGGTTTGAAGTGGAATTTTTTCAACTTTCTTCCCCTTCTCAGTTGTTTTTAGCACTCTTATGATACGCCTGCCTGCCTGGCCTCTCAATCTTGGTGGGATCTCGGACTCCTCTCCTAACAGCTAAACTCCATATGTGTTCTCTCTCTCCCCCTCCTGTCTGCTGCAGCTTGGATGGGAGTATGAGAGAGTAATTTCCTGCCATGTGTGGTATATCCTCCTCCCCATCTCCAGCCTTGCAGTGTGTTCAGAATGCTGCTCCCAGGATCACCTTGAGCTCCTCCTGTCCCTTGCACCTTGGTTCATTCAGATCAAGCTTATTGTCTTCACCTTCTAAAGCAGGCCGCTCTCTGATCTCATTTCCTCCCATGGGATGTCCCAGCCTCTCTGCTCCAACCAAGATTCTCTGACTGGTTCTTTTGTCCCTTTCACCAACTCCTAACTCCATGTCCCAAGGCTGGGAACAGCCTCCTGCTCAACGCTCTCCAAGAGCTAGTCCGGTCCTCCAGGCTGCTCTCTTCCATAAGGCCTAAAGTGCTAGACTGTGATTGCTCCCCTTCCGGTTCTGACTTACCGTGGTGAATATGCATGGTCCTGTCCATTGATAGGATCCAGGAATAGCCTGTCATTTTTGCCATCTCCCTAAAAGCTATGCGAAGAAACTCCTGGGAGGAGATAAGTGGGGTTTTCATGAAGTGCTCTGTTTCCCGTACCAGAGGTGCAGTAAAGAAGCAGGACCAAGTTTGCTACCAGCGGGTGTGCAGGAAAGCCCAAGATCCCTGCAGCAGACCAAAGCACACTAATCCAGGTTTAAGAATGAAGTATTTTCCTTTGCCAGCTTTCCCTGTGCCAATAAAACCCCTAGTGTCTGGAGTCTTGGCTACATGGTGGCAAGATCAAACTGCATGATTTTTTTGACTAATCCTCTGAGATTTACTCCAGGGTTTTTTGCCTCCTTTAAGGATTAAGAGGCTAGTATCTCTGGATCTGAAACTACACTACAGTATCTCTGCTGTAGACTCTTTGGCACTGGACTGTGACTTGGTACAGGGTCTGCAGAGAGTGGCGTGGAGGGATTTTTCTGACCCGTACCCAGCTACAGAGTTAAAAGCAAACCAGTTTTTGGTCTTAGAATGAAGCTGTTCTGACTCTACTATTAAATTGTCTTAAACAAGCTTGTGAATTGCATGAGAATTATGTGCTGAGTAAATGAGTGAAAAGCAGGAGTCGCTGTCAATTGGCATGGAGACATCAGCTGTGTAAATGTAGCAGTGATTCCAGGTAAATGCATACTGACCTCTTGCAGAAAGGACTCTCTGTTAAAAGCATATTTGATTGCATTGGACTTACTAAGGCTTTGTGTGTGTGTGTGTGTTATCTAGCTTTCGATTCTCCCCCCTTGCCCCCTTCAAAATGAACTTAATGATAACGCTCTTTTGGAATGGGGACTTGTGAAACTCTAATCTTGGAATCTGTTTGGAGGCCCCAAGATGGAAAAGGTTTCTGGTCTGAACACATCTATTCCCCCCACATACCCCCCCCCCCCCCACCAAAGCATAAACCACTGTGAGCTTTGCAGCCCCTTTCAGGTCTGCCTTTCTCAACGTTGAGCAGCTGCATGTTGATTGTAATTCTTGATCTAAATCAGTTTGTGAGCCATGCGTCATAGATCTAACCAAAGGGGTGCTTGGTGCTGTATAGTTGACAGTCTCTGCCATTCAGTAAAATTGGGGGAGCTCCCGCTGCGCCAGCCGAGGAGGGGTGTGCTGTTGTGAAGGGCTGGTCATCCCAAGCCATGGGAGCAGTGGGCACTTCCCGATTTGTTTTTGGCACAGTGTGGGGAAGATGTGCGCTTCTCTTCACCCCAGAAGATCTTGAGAGTCCTAGTGGGAAATCCAGGGGAGGGAACGGTTTTGGTGAAGTTGATAGAGAGCTCTGACAGTTTCCCCTTCCTGGGCTGCAAACCATCTTCCTCTCCGAGTACTTCAGTGGCTGAACTGAAACCAAGGAGCTTCCTTCCTAAGCAAGCACCGCTGCTAGCGAAGCCTGGCTATCCGTGTGCCTCTGAAAGCTGTCGATGTTCAGACTTCCCAACTGGGGGCACGGAGTCAAAGTGGGACCTGAGGATCCTCTCCCTTGGTCTCCCCCACCTCCTCAAACCCCTTGCTCTCAGCCTGAATATGCAACTCCACAGAACAAGATTACTTAGCTGCTTCAGTGCCCAAAGTAATGTTACTCAGCTGCCTAGATGCACAGTGCTTGCCACCCCCCACCCCATGCACACAAGCCCAGCACAGCTTCAGGAGCGGTATGAGGCCTTCGTTGCACTCAGTGTTGGAAATGGAAAGGCTCCACCAGTCTTCACACCCCTGCTTGTCTAGACAGTGTGGTCAACTCGCCATTTTATCGTGTGCCTCTTAACTCTTCTCCCCCCCAAGCTCAAATATTCCCGGAGCCCTGTGATAATGTGAACCTTGGCCTTGCCTTCTTTAAAAACCTGGTTTCTAGCCCTCCTGGTTCAGAAGCTCAAAAAGGTGACCCCCATGCCTCCTCTTGCCCCTGCCAAGGCTCAAAACCCAGAAGGCAAATATTAAAAAAAAAAAAAAAAAAAAAAAGCTCTCATGGTCAGTCCCTGTGCTTGGAAGATCTGTACGCGTCCATCTGGAGCCGGTCCGTTAGCATTTGCACTTTACGCGTGGGGCAGGAGGGTTGAGTAGGAGAGGTGGCGCAGAGGTTTGTGGCTTGTTGAAAGCCACAGAGGAAGTCATCACAATAGCAGCAGAGCAAACAAACAAGGGGCGCCTGGCTCATAACCTGGTGCTCACTTCTCCAGCTCATTGGGCTCCCTCAGCTGCTGGTAAAGTGCTCAGAGGCTGAAAAGCACGGTGGGACCATAACAGGCATCTGTCCCTCGGAGCAGGGCTTGAGATGTGTCGTAAGAGTCGGCCTGCCCTCGCTTACTTTGGAATCGCAGGGGTGGGAAGCCAAGGAAATCGGTGGTACTGGAAGAGTCTCTAATGCTGACAAAATTCAGCCCCTTGTTGCATTATGTCTGTAAACAGATGGTACCAAGTTAAACAAAGGATCTGGCTTGTCCTTGGTTCCCCGCTAAACTTTGGGAGCGGGTCATGTGCACAACCGCAAGGGTTGGGGTGGGGAGCTTTTAGAATAAACAAAGCCTGGCTAAAAATAGCATCCCCCTGGTACAGAGGCCACTGAGAGACTCAGGCTAGCCAAGCAAAATAGACTCTCTTGCCATGTCTTACAGGCTAGATGAGCTGTATTGAGTCTGAATGCTAGAGGCCCACTGGTGCTGGGAAACAACTGGGCA